TTAAGTTATTTTTGTTTAAAGTTATAAAAAATTTTTATTATAAAAAATTTGCTTGATTTCTATTGACTCACCCCCATATATCAAACCCTAATATGATTGGCCAATCACATTTAAGATTGGCGATTATAAATAATTTTTATTAACGCATCATTTGGAGCCTTAGAAATGTTGTAAAGTCATGTTTATGACAGTGAAATCTTTTTATTTTAGTGATTTGGTAGTTTTTTTTTCATTTAGTTTTTTGTTGGTATTTTTTAGTATTTACACAGTACTGTACTTTGTAGATGTTCCAGATAAGTTCATTTGTCGGCTTTCTTTGGGTTCTTCCAGTAAGTTCTTCATCGGGTTTTTCCAGTAAATTCACTGTTTTTCGATGAGTTCTTCCAGTAAGATTATTGTATTCGTTGGGCTTTTCTAGTAAGTTCTTGTCATTTTTGATGGGACATTCAATATTTTTGATTGGCTGTTGTATCACGTGAGCGGGAAATTTTTTGTGGGTGAGCAACGATCGTCTTACATACACCAACTATTGAATAATTTGCCTTTTTACATATCTTAAATTTGTATATACATGTAAATTCACTAAATAAATTCCTCTTGCAAGTAGGTCAAATTAGCAATTTTACAATTGAAGAACTTGTAATTTATTATGAAACTGAGCTAACCTGAATTTAGATAAGTAAGGGTTAAATACTAATAATATGGAGACCAATCGAATTAAAGATAATACAGTACTAGAAAAGGCATAAATTATTACTATTATTGTTATTACAGTATTATTATACAGCATATTATTTGTTTTATTTGATTCTTTATAACCAAATTAATTTTTTAGGCAATAAGTTTTATTAAAAAGCTGAGTATTAAGAAAAAAATGGAATAGCAAGAATTCGAATACATATATAAAGTTTATCTAACGATTATAAATCGCTTATATCTTAATATCGTGCAAAGTTCAGATCATTTGGTGTTGATTTAAATTTCAAGTAATGTTGGGCGATTCTGGAGGTTTTAATAAACCGGTTCCGACTTCTACACATAACACAAAATTCACAATCATCATGATAGCAAATCATTAACTCGGCAGATTAGTGATTTATTTAAATCTTAGATTTACAAAATCCAATTTTATGAATCTGTTACATAATACGTACCAAAATATAATAATCTAAAAATTGTAATGCCAAGAGAAAATGGTATTCTTGGTATTATTCATTTTTAGATTCTGATACTAATATTTTAGTATTACGTAATAGATTCGTATAATTAGACCTTGTAAATTTAGGGGATTTAAATAAAGTCAAATTCCACAAATCCGCAAAATTGCTAAATAAAATAAAATAGGTAATGCATAGCATTGTGCATCCGGAACTAAATATAACAGTGAAGAAGATTGGATTGGAAGAATTGAAGGCTTCCAATTCCATTATATAAAAAATTATTAGAAGACATAGATAGATAGACATATTGGTAATTTTGGAGAGACTTGGATTAGCAGTAACGGTAATAATAATCACGTGAATCATTATATTGGAGTCACGAAAGTGAACGGCAGAAATGGTCACATTATACTGTTTGTCACAAAAGCGGCGTCTTCCGCTTCGTTCTGGATAGATACGACTAGTTATTATATAGTATTTTGTGTATGTGGAAACAAATTTCAGCTCAAGAATCATTGGTTTCCTTTGTAAATCTGTAAAAAAAAAAAAAAAAAAAAAGGCCTTTTCAAGTGAAAGACTTTCTGTTTAAACTCAATAACTTCAAATAAAATGCATTTCATCGGAAAATGAAACTTTATTCAGGGTAATTTATACGTACGTAGCATAAAAGTTTATGTTACGAAAGAAAAAGTTACAATAATTTACCGTGCAGAAATAAAGACCAATCTCGACACTAGTAAATATCTGGTGCCCACGTGATTTATAGGTTCCGATACTTGAAAGATTAGTCCTGAAATAGAAATATATAATTTAAAAAAATTATATTGCTGTATTAGAAATACTATTATGGTTAGTGCGACATGCCAGATAAATTAACATATAAATTATGGTCTTTGAATGCAATTGTTTTTTCTTGTTCGTAAATTATTCATACCATCTTTAATCCTACCTCTCTTTAACATCCAACTCGAGGCTGAGCCTTACCACATCCTTTAAGGCCAGAGCTCAACAAATATTCCTTTCAATTTTTCTCGATACCATTATCCACCTCATTTTCGTTTTAATCCTTAAATATGGCATCTAAAAGAATCATTCACCTTCTTCTATTCGTTTTGTTATTAACTTTGAGTTTCATTATCGCCGAAGCTAAGATACCGCTGAAACTTAATAATCCTATAGCAAATGGGCAAACTGGTAACAGTTCAGTAGCTCCATCACCAGCAGCTCAATCACCAGCGGCTACCTCAACAGTGGCCCCCCAGGCAGCAAGCTCCGGTAAAAAACCAGTTAACGATCCGGTATTAAACGGTAATAATAATACAGGAGTGACATCAAATGTCACTAAAAGCGAAACTGTTAGTCGTACTTCTACTATTTCAAGCGCTACTGATGGTGTTAATTCAAATCCACAAATAACAGACCAACCAACTGGCACTACAATCCCTCAAAATATATCATCACCTAAAGCTGCACCGGGATCACCACCATTACAATCTTCTTATACAACTTTATCAACAGCAACACCACTCCCAACAACAAATTTACCACTATCAGCACAATTAAACACAACACAAACAGCAACAACAACACAACCAAATCCATTACAAACGACGTCACCTCAAAATCCAGCATTGGCACTAGCACCAGCGTCATCATCAACGTCAGCAACAAATTCAAATCCATCATCAACGCCATCAACAGATTTAAATTCATCATCAGCGCCAACAGCAGTTCCAAATCCAGCATCAGCGCCAGCAGCAGTTCAAAATTCATCATCAGCGCCAGAAACAGTTTCAGATTCATCATCAGCGCCAGAAACAGGTTCGTCAAGCACTAATTCCAAACTCAACAAAGACAAAACCTACTCTGCAGATGATTCTAAAGAAACTACGTTGGTGGTCGTAACTGGTAAAAAAGCTCAAGCACAAGCAGATTCAGCATCTGGTGCATCCACTGTAATCATGACTAGAAAAAATGATTATTATTCTGGTATCATGGCAGCCTTATCTATGATTGTTATTAGTTCAGTATTAATGATTTAAATTTTGATCATTTTTTTCAAATAATTTGTTCTTGAAGAATGAAATGAAATCGTGTTTAAACTGTTTTGTATCATCCATCTTGTTTATTTACATATATCATACATATTTCAATTTTGAAATTGTCACTTGTCTATAGAATAATATTAAAATAATTATAGCTTTAAAATATAGATAGAGTTGTGACTTTTTTGAAAAAATTTACGCATTCAGCTATATTTAGCTATAATTTTAATTTAATCTATTATATATAGGTCAATGAGTGGGTTTTAGGTTATTTGGTACGTATTAGAAATAAAGGAGAATTTTATAAAATATTTTATAAAATATTTATGTAAAAATAAAATTCTTTGAAATCATATTAAATTTATTTTATACGAAAATAATCAAATAATTAGCAATTATATTCATTATATTTGAAAATAATTGTTGGATAATGTTAATAAATTGTATAATATTAAAAGAGTTTATAATATTATTAAAAAAACAATTATTGTAAATACCTATAGTGCATACAGTAATTTTTTCATTAACAGTTAAACTTGCATAAGACTCTTGTTATAATGAATTATTGATATAATTAAAATCTCGATACAGTGAAATTAAAATTTTTGTTAATGAAACGATTAATATGAATTGGTGACTATTGGTAGGTACAATATCTACCAATAGTACGTACCAGTAGATATCGTTAGGTTAATAATATGCATTTACCAATAAGGTTAGTTTTTAAATCCATCACAAACTTTGTTAGATATTTAATCACTCTACCTATAGACTGTTCGGGAAAATTTACGTCACAAAATGGAACCGATCACTTCATTATACGAGAATGACTTGTAATACAATTAATAAATTTTAAATTTACCTATATATAGTAAAAATTAATAAAAATAATATAATTGAAACAATTGAAATAATTAAATTAAATTAAACGCTTTTGGTCTTACGTACGTACCATTATAAAAAAAAAAAATTACTATCGTACTATTTTGAATATTACTGAAAAATTACTGTTAATTACGAAATTAATTAAAGATAATATAATAATAATAATAATAATAAACAGATCACTCACTGATCACTGATCTATTTGGATTAACCTATTCCAGTATCGAATCTAAAAATCGATCTGAGAATGGTCGTAAAAAAAAAATTGTGAATCCGAGACGCAAATATAGTAATTATTATTTTGGAATTTTATTGGATAAATCACCCGTTTGATCTTATGTTTGTAACATTGTACTTAACATATCTATATTTAAAATGAATAAATATTAATGCATTATGTTATAACGAGTGAAACGTAATTCATCGTGGGCAATTTCTTGTAACTTCCTTTGTAACTTCCTTTGTAACTTTTTCTGAGACTGTCATCCCCAACGAAAATTGATGCAACCATTGTGATCGCTAAAATAGAACACGTTTTTGCTACAAAAGTCACCTTTTTTTTTACCATATTACTGTATTAACCTTTAACGAGTTCATTTCTTGGTTAATATTCCATGCCACAAATCATGGGTCGTATGAAATAGACCGTTTACATTTACATTTATATGCATATGCATTGTTTTCACATAACATGGATAATTTATTTAGCACAGCATAATATATACCATCATATATAGTTAATAAACAATAAAAGCAACAATATGTTCATCTACCACACAGTACAAATACATTATGATACCTATATATTTACAAATACAACATCCTAAGGCATATTTTTACCACTTTATAGCCTTAAACGATTTAGGTGGAGTAAAATCTCGTTGATCACACAGTTCTTTATTATCACTCTGCTTATAGTAGCACTTTATTCTTTCTTGTTCATCACAAGAAACAATATCATCAACGTCATTCCGTATATTTTGATCATTTAAAAAATACGGAACCGGATTTTTCGTATAATAATTAATTTCAAATTCATTTTGGAAATCCCGAATTAATTTAATGATTTCTTCTTCAATATTATCAGAACAATAACTATTTTTGACATCATTAACACTATTTAATGAGTCAAAATTATTATTCTTCATATCTTGGTTACCAATATCTGATACCATGGTAACATCAGGAAATTCCGAATCATTTTGTAAATCATTTTCAGTATTTAAAAGAATCATCAATTCTTTAAAATGGTTAATCTGTTCATCTCGTTGATCATTCATAATACGTCCACTTGTTGACATGCATACAAATATTTTTGTATATCCAGATGCAGGTTGATTTGATAAATCCGCATAATTTCGAGTATTTTTATAACTCGAATATTGTGATTTGGTGGCATCCCAAGTAATTATATTGGATTGTAATCCAAATTTCCATTTATTCTTCACATTCATTGTGGAACGAAATTCATGTTCTATAAATGCTTCGTAAGCTGCCATACCATTAAAGCATACGAATTTTGGTCGATAAGTTTTAATTTTTTGTTTAAGAGATGGTATCGCGAGAATTATTTCTTCCATTGATATTTTATCCTTTTTTTTTTTTATAAATTAAAATATATATATATATATAGTTTATAAATGAAAATACGTAAAATGTAAAATGTGATACAATAATAAATTTTAAGATTTGCACTAAACTTTATTTACCTTGGAACGATGTTTTGGTCTATGGAGTAAAGTTATAATTCCGATTTTGAAATCATTAGCAAGACGTTTATCATCAAAGTATGTAACCTTTTCTCCATTGGTCAATCCTATTTACATATAACAACGCGGAGGGAAAGAATAATTAGGTACTAAAAAGACTAATTAATTGTAATAAGACTAATACCAATAAATAGGACTAATACCACTTTCGAATAAGCAATCATAGAAATGATTAAAAGATGACGAGAAATGGTGTCCGGTTGAGACGCTTTTCTTTCCAGAAAATAAACTGACAAAGATAACTATTTTAATGAAAGAAATTAATGAAAAAGAAATTAATGAAAAGAAATTAATGAAAAAGAAATTAATGAAAAGAAATTAATGAAAAAGAAATTAATGAAAAGAAATTAATTAAATGAAATTAATGAAAAAGAAATTAATGAAAGAAATAATTTTTTTTTTTTAAAAGAAATCCTAGTAGAGAATACCGTTCAAGTTATGGCCAATAATATCCGGTACAGGAAGATTTTTATCGATCACCGCAACGGGTTCCAATTGTCTTGATCCCAATTGTTTCTGTTGTTTCTGTTTTTGATGAGATGATAGCCATAGAATTGATGATATTTTTTTAGTTAAATTTTGGTTTCGCTTAATAAATTTTTGGTTAGATTTTGCGCGTTCATGAATAGGAGACATCCTCTTGTTTACAAAAAAAGAATTATTGTGTGACTATAACATGGCTTTATAAAGTCGTATATATTTATGTCGCGGTTGATCGTGAAATCGGATGATGGTGAAATTTGGGGTCTCCTTTTGAAAATACAAACCCTACTGAAATTTATTTATACTCTTTTTTAAGCAACTCTAACCCTAAATTTTAACCTATCACTAAAAAAAAGCTAGAATAATACACCCTAAAAAATTCATCCCATCCGTGACAATAATGATAATGACAATGTTTATTAAATTGATCGAATGATAAAAACACGTGTATAACTTTAATTTTTGAGGAGAACTGATAAAACAGTAAAAGGAAATAATAATGAGGATACCGACATCGGGTATCCAGGAAATAAATGACTATCCTTTAGGCACGTAATCAGGTACAGTATCATTGTAACACTTTGACAGGAGGGGTCCCGAAAATTTTACCAATTTATAGTCTTGGCAATGCTTCACAACCACATTTATCTAAATTTCGGCATTATGCGTTAATTTTATTAGCCATATACAGTATATACAAAGACTGTACATATTTAGTTATTAATAAATTGCGTATACCGGTAATAAGACCGACCGTTATTTTTGCTCAATTTGATTAATTTGATTGTAAGATCAACGTGTAACATGCAAATTCGAAGCAAACAAAAAACATCCTATGGAAACTATTATGTATTATTATGTAAGAGGCTTTCGGCACAAAGCTTTAGATATATTATTTCTGTATGGGTGGTGCGCATTTCACCGACAATCACTTCACAGACACCTTGTTTTACCGACAATTAATTCGCCGACATGTTTATTTCACAGACAATCATTTAACCGACGTTTAGTTCACCGACATGTTTAGTTCACCGACAAGT